GCAGGCCCTGCTTTCCCGCCAGGCCCCGATTCCACACCCCTCTCTGGCTCCCAGAAGGCCCTGCACTCCCAGCAGGCACTGCTCTCAGCTGACTCCCCCCAGCTCCCAGTTGACCTGCTTTCCTGTCAGGCCTGGTGCTCCCCGCTCCTGTCAGGTATTTTCTCCCAGCAGGCCCTGCTTTCCTCACCAGGYCCTGCGCTCTCACCAGATTCCTCACAACCCCTACAGCTCCCAGTGGCCCTTGCGCTCCCAGCAGGCCTCATGCTCCCAGCCAGCCCGCTTTCCCATCAGGCCTGKCAGGCCCCGTGCTCTCAGCGGATCCCCACCCGCCCACAGCTCCCAGCAGGCCCCGCACTCCCAGCAGGCATCACTCTCAGCTGACTCCCCCCAGCTCCCAGTTGACCTGCTTTCCTGTCAGGCCTGGTGCTCCCAGCAGCCCCCCGCCCCAGCCCTCAGCAGCGCCCCCCGCCCAGCTCCCAGCAGGCCCCGTGCTCTCAGCAGACCCCCCCCAGCTCTCAGCAGCCCACCCCTCTGTCACCCATTCCCTTGCCGTGCAATACGCGGGCAGAAATTTAGGAAGACAGGGGTTTGGAGGGACAAGAAGGAGGATAAATGAAAGAAGTCTTAGTATGGAAGATGGTAAGGGTGCCTGGGAGACAAGCCTGAAGTGCTGTTAGAGGCCACTGTGTGTATTTAGTAAAGTGGTCAGGAAGGCCTCGGAGACGTGATGTCGGAGTGCAAGGCGTGAAGAGAGTGGGTGACCTTGTGGATGTCCAAGGGGACCATTTTGCCACACACATAACCCATTGATCCTTGAGAAATAAAAAGGTCACATGAAACCTATAAAGAAGTGATTGTGACTATAGGGGATAGCACTAAGGGAGCCTGGTGGTGATGGGACAGTTCTGTAGCTTGATTGTGGTAGTGATACACACCTACGTAAATCCTCAAGCGGGGTGGAACAATGCGTGTACACTGTACCAGTGTCAATTTTCTGACTTTGATGTTGAACTACAGTTGCATCAACATGAATCATTGCGGGAAACTGGGAGAAGGGACACAGGACCTCTCTGCTATATTTGCAACTTCCTGTGAACCTAAAGTTGTGTTAAAAATCAAAGGTTAAAAAAAGTACAGAACTTCCTTGGAAATTATTCTTACATAGTTTTTGTTGGTTAATGTGAAGTAAAACATTCAAATATATGAACTACAACTGATTAGAGGGTAGTACAAATAATTTACTTTCTTTTAGCCACATATAGTACTTAGAAATATTTCCTGAACAACAGAATGTTACACTTGGAAATATTGGCTTGTGGGGGAAAAAAACGTAAATATTTTGAAATGCTTTGAGCACTGTTTTCTTTTCAGTGGGCACATATTCCTATGGACAGGTATGTTAGGGGGAAAACTAATAATCACCAAGCACCTAATATGTGCAGCGACCTCTGAGACCCTCCTGGGAGGATGGCCCACATATGCAACCTCTTGTGTTGCTCTCTTTTGCATCTCTAAAGAAAAGGGGACAGTAAAACACCATGTCTTTGCACACCCCCTTTCTGTTCTCAAAAGCCTAGTCAAGTTAAAGGAACAATGAGAGCAATCCTATCTTGCAGGACTCTAAGCTTTCTTTTATGCACACTGGGAACAAGGCAAATGTCACCTGTAGGAAAGCTACTTTCTTGCAAGTACACCAGGATAGGTGCTCCTTGGAATGTAGTTCATTCAAGCAAGCTAATATTGTTGTCACTGCTTCTGCAGACTAACATATAAAACTCCTCTCAAAGTGGGAACTGATGCCAGACTGAGGAAACTGCAGAAAGGATTGTCTTGCTGAACAATTTGTGGTGATGTTTGGGAAAAAGGCACTACCTAGGAAAGTGCCCCGAGGGATGAAGATGCTATCTGTTCATCCTGCAGCCACAGCACTCTTCTTGAAGCAGTCACTAATCTCTCCTAAGCTTTGTCTGTCTGTCTCCCATACTGTCTTTCGGGCATTGTCTTTGGCCTTTTCACAGCCTACCCCACTACCCTGGCACAACTGGACTGTGGACATAACAACTGCTATTGCTGAAAAGGTCTAAACTACCAGAAGACTTGAATATCCTGGAATTTTCTATTTTTGTTTTTTCTCTCGCAAACATTTGTAGTCCTTCATGTGTGATATTTTACCTCCCATCAAGAGTGGCAGTGGAGGGCCAAGCTGGGGAAATATTATAGACTGTTCGAAGTGCTGTTCATCATTTAGGTCTTATCTGGACAGCACAGTTGAGATAAGACAGATAAGAGACTGAGACAAGTCCTTGCCAAGTCACTGATGAACAGCAGAGAAACTTCTCCCCCCTGAATTGCTATCCTGTGAGAATGAGGTAACCCAAACCTCATCCTCCAACCCGGCCCACTTCCCCGTGGAGGTTAGGGAAGTAAAACTATGGTGAAGTTTATTTGGGAAAACACATGATTGAGGGAAGCCATGCAACTTCTTTTTTCTTTGAAGACGTCCAGAGCTCTCCTTCACATCTGTGCTTGTTAACAAGTTTCCCCACGACGTCCACTTTGTGGACAGAAGCATTGCTATTTTGGGTACCAACAAACGGGCGGCCCCAGGGCTGACTCGGTGCAGTCTGCGCGGCCCAACACTACCTTCCCTCTCCTCTCGGGGCTGAGAACGCTGCGCCTGGCCCTCCCGGCCCCACCGCGCGGAGCCGGACGCGCCCAGGAGCCCTTCCCGCTGCCTCTGCGCAGATTCAGCGAAGCCCCGCCCTCCTCGCGCGCTCCAGCAGCGGGTGATTGCGAAAGGCGCCTCCTGTAGCCAATCAACACTCGCGCGACGGGCGGGCGCACGCTCGGGGTGGTGGAGGGCGTCGGCAGAGGGCGAGGCCTCTTGAGTGACAAGCAAGCCGGCCAGTCCTCGGAGGCCGTGCGCCGCCCGCCTCCTCCGCTGCGCCTCCGCCCCTTCCGGGGCACCCGGCCCGGGAGCTCCGGGAATGTCCCGAGCGGAGCTGCCTGAGACGTTGTGTGTGTTCCACCCGTGACGGCTGTGTGAGCAGGGCCTGGAGGCTCGACTCGTACGTGATGGCCGAGCAGTCGGACAAGGCTGTGAAGTACTACACCCTGGAAGAGATCCAGAAGCACAACAACAGCAAAAGCACCTGGGTGATCCTGCACCACAAGGTGTACGACTTGACTAAATTTCTGGAAGAGGTCAGTAGGAAAGGCGCGAACGTCCGGGGCACGGGGACCGAGTCCGGGGTTTGGGGTTCCCTGGCGTAACCTGTTATTCGCAGCGACGCGGCCCAGTCTGCCCCCGAGTGTGAACGCGGGGAGCGCTCCCCACACTCATTGCACACTTGCATCTGCTCTCCCGAGTGGACTCCCCGTCTGCCTCTGAGTGCGCACGTTCGTGCGCACACCTGGAAGCGCTGTCCGCGTCTGCACCCCGAGTGCGCTTGTGTGCGTGCGCACCTGGGAGCGCTCCCCGTGACTGCACACTTGTACCTGCGCCTGAGTGTACTCCGCTGGGTTTGCGCCCCGAGTGAGTGCACACCTGGGAGCGAGTCCCGCGGCAGCACACCTGCGACCCTGTTTGCACATCTGTGCGCGCACCTGGGAGAAACCCGAGGAGCAGCCACGCGAGCCTTTTCAGTAGCCCGCCRTGTGGGCTGGAGCACTTGTTGGGCGGGGACTGGCTCCGGAGACCCTGCGTAGTGGCCTGGACCCCTACTTCCTAGGAGAGGGCGCAGCTACGCAAGAAATTTTAAAGATCCCCTTTTATTTTCAAGTGTTTTTAATAGAATGATCCCCATCTAGGAAAGGTCCACCAACCAGTGTTATTCCCGGAGTGAGCTTCAGGTACCAGCCCGTTGGAGACCACCTACCCAGAGAGCTGTGGGATCTTCAGAAGGGGTCCTGGGGTCAGAGGCAGGGGTGCGGTCTGGCCTTCTTCTCTCCTACACCCGCAGTTCCACTTTACCCTCCATGCCTACACCCACCGTCTTCACCTGGGAGGGGCTTAGTACGGTTCACCTCACCCCAGGTTCTTACTTGTCAGTGAGGTTCAAGGTGTGACTCCTGAAGCGAGAGGTGGACTCTGGCGTTTGGTTTTGGGAATACCAAGGAGATAGGCAGAGTTGTAAAGTCTGCCAGGGGGACTTGATCCTTGAGCAACGTGGGGAATTGTAAAGTCACTTTGCTTAACTTAAAGGACGACATCTCTTTGATTGGATTCACTGCGTTATAGTATAGTTTTTGCTGTAMAATCTAAGGGGCGTTTCTGGTAATTGTCTTTACTACCTCTGTTTTTGTCTCTGGATGGCAGGTTGAATCAGAACACTTCCCCATCCCCTCCCAACACAATAAATGAGAATGTTTAGAGATATGGATTATTCAGGTTTTTTTTTTTTCTTTTTTGGTGTGGGGGGGCTGATTTTAGCAGGATTACAATTTGCACCAAGGGACTTTTGTTTTGCAGATAATATTTTAAAAATTTAAAACAACAAACAAAAAAGTCTTCTTTTAAGAATGGTTGAAGTTGATATTTCTTGGTAAGTTATTTTATTCTTCAGTTGTTATTTGGTAGAGTATTTGAAGATAAAATAGTGTTCTGATTTAGTTAGAAGTGGTTTAGAGTGTGGAATCTAATCTGTGTGTCTGTCCTCCCCTCTGAGGAGCTACAGAGTGTGTTTGCCCTTACAGTTTCTGAACTAACAGTCCTGCCTGAGGACATCAGGTTCTGTGACTCAGTCTCCACATGCATCTCTRTTCTTCATTTCTTTCATGGGATGTGGAATTCTGAGATTTTAAGATACAGCGAGTGTTTTGATGCTCTTGAAACCATTCTAACTTACTTATACCTTTCCTCAAACAGGATCTTTTGATCTTGGATCAGGATCTGTTGACCTCCCGATTCTGCCTGTTGTGGATGCTTTACCATTTCCTGTTTTTGTTTTTCCTTTCTGTGACACTTTCTTACTTCTTGCAGTGTCCTATTACTGGCTTTCTACCCATCAGCATGGCCATGGCCTCCAGGCTTCTCTCTGGGAATACCGGGCCTCTAGGGTTCTCCAGGTTTGCTTCCTGCACCTGATCATGTCTTAAACACAGACATGCATCTTCTTTTTCACTGTGCTGGATAGTTCCCTTCTCCCTAGACCCCTCCTCCAATTTCCATTATTTTGTTAGCTGTTTAATCTCAGACCTAACTTGAAAACAGAGAAAAGAGCCCATAATGTCTGGCTTTCTTCCCCTTTTCCCTGACCTTTTCCCATTTTTCCACACTTAAGCTCCAGAAATTTCATGAAGCCTGTTAACTAAAGAATATTCTATCTTCCCTAATTTATCTGATATGATTGGCAGGGACTTCCTGCCTCTGAAACAAACTCTCAGGCATGTCATTTGTCTCATATACTTTTTTTTTTAAGCTGCTGATAGAACTTCATTTTATTTATTTATTTATTTATTTATTGTGCTGAGAATCGAACCCAGTGCCTCAAACTTGCTAGGCAAGTGCTCTACCACTGAGCCACAGCCACAGCCCTCATATACTCTTAATTCACCTGTCCCTATGAACAAGCTTTCTCCTGGCTGTTTCCATTTCTGTCAGGGTTAAATTCATGTCCCACATCCTGTTGAGAAAACTTGGGGTGTAATGTCAGAAGTCTCCTGCTGCTTACCTTCTCTGTGCCTCAGATTCCTCATTTGTGAAATTAAGAGATGATTGTATGCCTACTCCATGTGGTTATGATGAGAATTAAACAAAACCATGCRTAGTAAACACATTCCTCATTGGCAGGTGTTGTATTCATTTATTACTCCTGCCTCAATAGGGGTTAATGTTGGCTATGATTTTATTTCCGCAGCATCATATATGGCTTTGTGTTTAACATACATCTTGTAGGTAACAGTGTAAATCTGGCAGATGATGTGGGAACAGGAGAATATTATAAAAATTATCTCTCTGGCCAGGAACACATGTTGATGTTTAATTGTTGGGCAATGTGAACTCTGTCCTGGAATAAAGCTGTTCTGTTGTTTAGGGGGAGGGACAGAAAGCTAAGAGGGAGGGTGAGCTGATTGGTAATGGCAGTTTAAATAGCAGGTGTTTGGTTACTGTCTGATACCTGCTGACCAGATTAGGAGCCTTATTGCCTACCTATTTTGAACTAAAAGATTTTTTTTTCAGCCCTGACATCTAGTTTATATTTATAAATAATCAAGTCTTGGCTTATCTGATTATATTATTAGCTAGGTTAATGATTCTAGAATTTTAAGGAACAGTTTCATGAAATGAAAACTTAAATATTAGAGCCACGAGGGGAAAAAAAAAAGTTTTGTATATCCTCTTCTGTAATTAGGGCAGCAGCATTTATTCAGTTTTCCAAGAGCTGTGGAAGGGAGAAAAGAAAGCTTCATGTAATAACAGTTATACTAGGTAAAGGGGTATTTAACTTGTGAAGGAAATACCTCCCTGAAAATGTTTATAAAGCAAGTTTTCTCCCCTCCCTTTATTTTAAAAATGGAAACTCGTTTCTATGGAACATTGTGTAGCAATCCTGGGATTCTGAGTCTTGTAGCTGACTTGAAAGTTCTTTTGATGGCAAAAGCTGTTGACTCCTGTCTGAGTTTAGAGTTTTCAACAGGTTTTATTGTAGGAACTTCACATTGTGTTATTTTCTGTGGAAGGTCTCTGTCTATCTTGCATAGACCAAGGGTTCTGAGTGTCCCTGAGATCCAGGACAAGAGTGTGATATTTAAGATTCATACCTCTACTTCTGAAAATCACAAGGACACATATCTTTTTACCCTTGATAGGGCTATCATATTTAGGGCTAAAATACTAAATGTTTTGCTTTTTACAAGGAAGTTTGATAGGATTCTGATTCTCATGTTATAAAAGCTGCCATTGCTACATGTGCCTTTGAGTATAAAATGGAATATTATTAATTATTATTTAAGATACATAGTTTGGCTTAATATGAAGTCCACAGGAGGTAAATATTCAGGGATTGTTGGTAACAATGGCTTAGACATATTGGGTAAACAGGTGACAAAATCACATCTCAATGGCCACCTTGAGAATGTGAACCTGTGAGTCTGTTCTATGTTATCTGTGTTTTATTTTATTTTTAAAACTTTTTGTGAACCATTGCTACATTTGAGGAGAGGTTCCAAGAGGCTACTTTGCTACTTTGTTTTGAAACAGGAAAAAACAAACAAAACAACAACAACAAAAACCACTTGAGACTGGTAACATTTGCTTTTTGGTTATCTTTAAAGTGGATGAAAATTGTAAATAAGGAAGTGTAAACAGGTTATTTTAGCCAGTTTGGATAAATCAGGGAATACCCTACTTTCTACTTTCTGTGGGTATCTATTATCCTGCAAGTCCCTCCAAACCATGGAAGACAACTGCTAAGTGCCTTTTTAGTTAAGTGGGGTCTGAGCGACCCTTGTGACACTCAGTATTCATGAGAAGGTATTGAACTGGGGTTAGGAAAACTGCCCTGGTCTCAGGGTTCTCGAAGAGAACTTGAGCAAGGTAGGTAGTTCCCAAATTACTTTCCTTGGGAATGTGAACATGGAGCAGGGACTGTTCTGTCACCCATGCCTACCTCAAGTCTGGGAACACTGGGAGAAGTGTATGTGTGGAAATACTTGAAAAAGTATGTAAAGAGAGGCATTCAAATGACTCTATTTTGTTTAAACAAAACTTTAAAGTTTTAAAGCTGGATCTGTAGCTCAGGGGTAGAGCACTTAYCTCAATTCTAACATGGGAACCAAGAGAATGAGTTAAAGATTGGGTGGGGCAAACTCAGTTTTTGCTGGCTACATAGAATCCTGCCTGTGCAGCCTATTGTCAAATGGCTTCAGAGGTGTCAGAGAGCTGACATGCAGGAGARCCTAGGATTCATCACCAGCACTTCTCAGGAATTATAGTGTTCACCAGTAAAAGAAATAATTCAGAATACAAATATCCACCTGAAACATGATTTCCCCAAAATATGTGCTATGCATAATGGGAAATCATCCCTTTTCTGGAGCTTTTAAATGTACAACTTTATGCTTTTGGAAAAAGGAATACATGCTCCTTGTAAGGAAATGGATGATGGGGAAAAGTACAGAGAAGAAAATCAAAGCTGCTCAGAATTCCACTTCCCAGAAGCAGCTGCCTTGAACAGTTTGGTAAGCTCTTTCCAGACAGTTCT